TAACCCAAACACTGACACTGGGTTTTTGAATACGTTCATTAGTACTCGTCAAATTTGCCACTGTCTTGCATTTTATTACGGGGAATGGGTTTTCAACAATGTGAAACCCTTTGTCGTGCCCCGTAATGCCCTAGTCTTGGCGTAAAACCCGCACGTCTCACCACAGCACCTGCGTTGAGCCTGGCATATGTTTCATTAAAGCACTGTGCCACACACTCTGTCTTGTTTACCGATGAAATCACTGAGTAAAGGGGTTTGTACCATTTTGGTAAAAAGTATGCCCCCTTTCCAAGATAAGGGCCACTTTTCTCACATGTCACCTGAGATACCCCCAAAAACATCTTGGTAAACTTCAAGTTTTCTACCTTGAAAACAAAATTCCAACACCAGGGGGCCACTGTCCCAAACACAGAGTACAAACAGTTTTTTACCCAAGCGTTTTCCCCTTGCTCGGTATATCTGCTTGAATGACAGTCTTCCTTTGAACAAATCAAGACTGTCAATTTCAAGATTCTTGAATGGATAAAATATATGCGAACTTTTTTTTGAGATAAAGAAAACATTTTTTAATCTTTTATAACCTGTCACTTTTTTTCACCTGGTTTTTTTCAAAAGTGAACATACTAAGAGTAAGATAAACCGTTACTGGGATTATTTCCTGAAAAAAAGGGGTAGAAATTTGCCGATCTTGGGCCCGTATGCTTTTATATTATGCTTATAGATGGAGGGATAACATTATTTTGCAAAAAACAAAAAACTTTTTTGCACAGTCGTCTATTTCCACCCGTGGTCTTTACTGTGGGGATAAGATGTATTTGCCATGGGGTACCAAAATATTTTTTACTTTCCTGACAAAATTTCCATCAATGGGGGTCAAAAAATTCAAAAAAATTTTCCGTTCATTTGGCCCTGGTTCCAAGGGGGCAAGTAGGAAATTCCACTTTTTGAATATCAAAGGGTGAGGCTTGGGAACAAATTGGGATTTTGCCCTTCCCACATACGGTTTTTCTGGGGGATACTGGGCACATGGCTGGTTGTGCGGGGGGTTGTGGTTGTGGGTGGGTGGGGCTGGGGCTCCACTTTTTCCTTTAATGAGATCAGCACGGGGTCCCCGCGTGGCTGGGAGTCACGCAGGGGGTGCCACTCCATCACCACCACACCATCCACTGATGCCCGTGGTCTATCCCTGCCAATTAGCCACATATCCCACTATCACTACCCAAAACTGGTGTTGGGGACGAAATACCCGGGGTTACTCCGGGATGTACTCTGTCCCCTGGGCACAGCATAGAGTACACTACCCAGCGCATGCGGCGGCGAACAACCGAGCTTCATGGGAATATGATTCCTCACTATCACAAACCCATTTATCTTTGGGCAAAAAATCACAGTCCCGTCACTTCATCATATTACTAATCAGAGGCCCCGGCCACGCGAAAATATTAGTTTTCTCTTGCGAGAGAACAACCCACCGTGAGTCACGAGTGCCCCCCAAGGAAAGGTTGAGGATGCGGGTTTTTTGCAATTTTTGATATCCTGGGCATTCTTTCGGCCAACTGATCAAAGCCGTAGAATTCGTTTCATTTCCACTTCCATCAGTGTCAAACATCAGATAGGAAGAGGAGAGTCCCAATTTTCCGGGAGTGAGAGCTGACTTGCGACGAGGCATGGGTGAACAAGGAACTGAGCCAGATTCCACAATGCTATGCGGGCGCCTAGATTTTTGTTTTTTGGCGCACACCCACCACGCAAACCCTTCTCTCACATGTAGCCTTTTAGCGTTTTCGCGCTAAATTTGACAGCGCTAGAATTTTGGCGAGATCTACGGTTTGGACACTCACGAAAGCCGTTTTCTACGGGACGACCCTGAAAAGGGTTTAAAAAGGGCCGATTCCCCGAGGCAGGGGGGCCGGGGAAAAAAAAATGAAAGTTTTTTTTTAAATTTAGTAATGTGTACAGGGGAAGGGGTTACTGCCCTTTTTCCCGGGGATATTTTTCACCTTTTTGCTGCAGGCTTTCAAAAAGAATTCTGTCCACTACCCATAAGATAAGGGGGAAAAAAAAGACAAGAAAAAGTAAGAAATAGAAGAAAACCCAGAGGGTGGTGTATAATATGCTTTTATGTGCAGTGTAATGAAGTAGCAAAATGTATGTGCCCCCCAAATCTTGCATGTTTATGAAACAAAAAAGACACCACATTTACATCATGTAAAAAAAATTTTAGGTTTTTTGTTATACACTCACTTGGCAGGATTTTTAACCCGGAGGGGGTTTGCCACCCAGGATAACCCCAAAAATCAGTGCGTCATCGAGACGTCAACTTATTTCCATTTGTGTCCTAATCTTGTCCCCCAGGAACACCCCACCATCGACAAAAACCCAGTACCTATTTTCTGCTAGGTGAAAAGGACAAAGGTGAAGGAAACGTGTGAAATGTTTCCCCCCGCCGGGGAACGAACCCGGGGCCCCCCTTTTGGTGAAGCGGGACTTTAGCCCCCAGGGCCCCCGGGCATCCCTGGGCAGTGCTGTCTACCAACCTACTACCCAGGAATAAAGTCATGGACCCCCCGCATAGCGAACCCTTGCATAGCGAACTTTCCCGCATAGCAAAACGTTTTGGGATCGCAAAAAATTTTTTCCCCCCGGCCAAAAAAGAAAAAGAAAAAAAACCCCGCCCCAGCAACTTCGTCCGAGACGCCCAAATTTTTGGGCCCTCCCAAAAGGCCTCACATGGCCCGGGCCCGTCCCATTGTTTACCAGCTAGCCCCCGGGCGGTAACATTAAAAGCATCACTGGGAAATTTTCGTATTTTTAACAGTTTTTTTCGGTTCTGTTTTTTTTAAAAAATAAGTGACCTTTTGGGCCCCAAGGGAAAGCTTCTATCCCAAACCCGTGGAAAAAGGGTGAGAATTAGAAAGGGAAAATTTAAAAAAAGTTTTTAAAGGGGGTTTGGGGGCTAACCCTGAAAGCCTTGCCTTTGGGGTGGAATCCTTTGGGTGCCTACTTCAAAAATTAAGGAAATTTTTGGGTTTGCACAGGGGGTTGAACTGAAAACCCTTTTAAAGATAAAAAATAAACCCGACCCCAGCTTTTTGCAAGGCGGGTGGTGACTATTTCAATGAAAAATGTTAAGGCCCATTTTTTAGACAAATCCGTAAAGGAAAGGGGGGTACAGAGCCTATGGACCCGAAAGAAGTCCATTTAAATCTGAACTGGCCTATGGCATTAAAAAGAAGGAAAGGGAAATAAAACCCCCCAAAAAGGGCTTGCCTTTTCCAAATGTTAATGGAAAAAAAGGGGAAAATTTCCCCCTTTTAAAAAACAACACCTCTCTCCTCCCCCCTCCCATCCCCCAAACATCCCGATTTCAAAAAATTTAAATGCATGTAAAATTTTGCATGCCTTTTTCAGTTTGTGTGTACTAAAATTAACATTTTTTTTTTTTGGTAAAAAAATTTTTTTTTTATACTTTTTGGGGGTCTTGCAAAAGGGTTAAAATTTATTTTTTTATTTTTTTTATGGGGAAAATTAAACGCAAAGCAACATTTCGCCTAACGACCAGGCCCCCCTTTTCCACGGATTTTAAATTCGCTATGGGGGGGTCCACTGTTTCTACGTTAAAAGACAAGTCATATACTTTGTATGTACTAAAGGGAAAGGTGTAATTTTTTCTATGAGGAGTATTCACTAATAGTAGCCAAGTTAAGAGTATTTTGAGATGAAGTTTTTTTTTTTTTTTCAACAAACCGGCCGTATCCCACCGAGGCAGGGTGGCCCAAAAAGAAAAACAAAAGTTTCTTTTTTCAAATTTAGTAATTTATACAGGAGAAAGGGTTACTAGCCCCCCACTCCTGGCATTTTAGTCGCCTCTTACAACACGCATGGCTTACGGAGGAAGAATTCTGTTCCACTTTCCCATGGAGATAAGAGGAAATAAACAAGAATAAGAACTAGAAAGAAAATAGAAGAAAACCCAGAGGGGTGTGTATATATGTGCTTGTACATGTATGTGTAGTGTGACCTAAGTGTAAGTAGAAGTAGCAAGACATACCTGAAATCTTGCATGTTCATGAGACAGAAAAAAGGACACCAGCAATTCTACCATCATGTAAAACAATTACAGGCTTTCGTTTTACACTCACTTGGCAGGACGGTAGTACCTCCCTGGGCGGTTGCTGTCTACCAACTTACTACCTAGGGAATAAAGTACTACATATATTAGACAAGTCATATACTTAGTATGTACTAGGTAAAGGTGTAATTTGGCTATGAGGTAGTATGTCACTAATAGTAGCCAAGTTAAGAGTATTTTGAGATGAAGTTATAACAATAATAACAGATACAAATTGAGCATGCATAACACTGTATGTGGAGATTAGTGAGTATATACTGCACCTTATTCTGACTCAAACCAGTACTGTATCACATAAGAATTTTGTTAGGTCATTCATTAGCTATATAGTGTCTTCTACCTGTGGTTGATATTCTTAACACAATTTTACTCTCACAAATCACTGATGGATTTTTCTCTAGATGAGTTGCCTTAGTCTGTGGAGAAGGTTGTGTCTTTTCTTTGTAAGGTACTCATTAACATAAACATTGCATGTGATACTTATGGATGACTATGTTATGTCATATCTTTTAGAACAGGAGTGAAATTGTAACAATACAGTTTGTTTCCCATTAGATTTACCTATGAATCTTGCTCCTTTGATTTCAGTGCTCTCAATGTTCACATGAAATTTATCTTTGATGAGTTGAAGAGTGGTCTTAAGACAAGAATCTTAAGCAGTGGAGTCTGGGAGATGACTCCTGTTATAAGCATCTGAAAGCTGCTGTTGCTCAGTTTGGTTTTCATAGTTTTGAATGAAGTCAGTGAGTTGCACATCCATGTGCAACTTTCCTTCGCTAATAGTATTAAATGTATGTACCTAAAATAATGTAATAGCCCTTATATATTCTAATTTTACAAATATGTATATAAAGCAGCATCTTTGCAGGTTCTGTTAATATTGCATACCTGTACACCAAGCGAAAATTTAACTGGACTTACAGCCAGTATATTCAGCTGAGCCTTGTGCAAATTATCTCCAGCATCTTAGGTAAGTACAGTTATCATATTGAGAGTGGAAATGAATAGTACAGAGTTTTAACTAGCATTGTGTAGTAAATTCAAATTCAAAATTTACTTCCACATAATACATTGTTTATACAGAAATGGGTGATTTTTTGGTAATACTGTACTTGTAGAAAGCCTGTGGTTAATCAGAACATTATGGGCAAGCTTAAACTTGCTAAGAGTTAGTGGAGAACTATGTAGTGTTATCAACCTGTGGTCCAGAATTGTATATATAGTCAATAGGTTGAGAGTTAGTTTAAAATTTTGTAGTGGAGCCAACGTATTAAGTTTTATATATAGTAGTAACGCTGTCAGCAGTTCAGAGATTAATGATATACTGATAGTTAATGATCTTAGCAGAACCATATACTGTAGTACAATCAGCATGTTGAGAGGTAGTTCAGAATTGGATATTGGTCAGCATGTTACACCAGATATGTAGGCAGAATTTGAAATAGCAAGGTGTCTGAAAAGTTCAGTGAATTTGAGGTTTTAACACTCAAGAATCTTATATAATTTTGTAGCACTAATACAGTGCCTGTATATAATGACTAATAAGCATGTTAGACAAATATAAAAAATAGCTAATTATATACAGTAGATCACTAATTGAAGCAGTCAGACTATGCGAGATTGTTTGAATACTATTGGAAAATTGCACCCAGAACTATCAGTATTGGGCTTTATAAAGTGTGAAAAAATCATTGTAGGTGCTATGCCACAGTGGTGCACACTGTAAGATTTTACCCCCTCCCTCCCACCTTCTACTCTATTAACTCCTGTGGGTGAGTGGTTTTGTTTTGAGAGGCACTGTACCTCCCTTTCCCACTCATACCACCATCCATATCATCAGTTGCCCTGTGGAAGCATTGTGTGTGATAGTGATTTGTGTTTATCAAAAGATTCTGTATCTTTTCATCACCCCATCTTGTCTGCATATTAATTATGGTATGAAAGAAAGTGGAGGTTTTAAATATGCCTGCAGCCTGTGCACATGTGATAGCAGTGGCATAATCCTTTGACCTTGGGTAATCCTCCACTCGTATAAAAACAACATATATATATATATATTTTTTTAACAAGTCGGCCATCTCTCACTAAAGCAGGGTGACCCATAAAGAAAGAAAATCCCCAAAAAGAAAATACTTTCATCATTCAACACTTTCACCTCACTCACACATAATCACTGTTTTTGCAGAGGTGCTTAGAATACAACAGTTTAGAAAAATATATGCATAAAGATACACAACATATCCCTCCAAACTGCCAATATTCCAAACAACTCCTTTAAAGTGCAGGCATTGTACGTCCCATTTCCAGGACTCAAGTCCGGCTTTATAAAAATAACCGGTTTCCCTGAATCCCTTCACTAAATATTACCCTGCTCACACTCCAACAGCTCATCAGGTCCCAAATACCATTCGTCTCCATTCACTCCTATCTAACACGCTCATGCATGCTTGCTGGAAGTCCAAGCCCCTCACCCACAAAACTTCCTTTACCGCCGCCCTCCAACCTTTTCGAGGACAACCCCTACCCCGCCTTCCTTCCCCTACAGATTTATACGCTCTCCATGTCATTCTACTTTGATTCATTCTCTCTAAATGACCAAACCACCTCAACAACCCTTCTTCAGCCCTCTGACTTTTATTAACTCCACACCTTCTCCAAATTTTTAAGTGCAGGTATTGTACTTCCCATTTCCAGGACTCAAGTCATGCTAACCAGTTTCCCTGAATCCCTTCACAAAATATTACCCTGCTCACACTCCAACAGCTTGTCAGGTCACAAAAACCATTTGTCTCTATTCACTCTTATCTAACACGCTCACGCACGCTTGCTGTAAGTCCAGGCCCCTCACCCACAAAACTTCCTTTACCCCCTTCCTCCAACCTTTTCGACGACGACCCCTACCCCACCTTCCTTCCCCTACAGATTTATACGGTCTCCAAGTCATTCTACTTCATTCCATTCTCTCTAAATGACCAAACTACCTCAACAACCCCTCTTCAGCCCTCTGACTAATACTTTTAGTAACCCCACACCTCCTCCTAATTTCCACACTACGAATTCTCTACATAATATTTACACCACACATTGCTCTTAGACAGGACATCTCCACTGCCTCCAGCCGCCTTCTCACTGCATCATTTACAATCCAAGTTTCACACCCATGTGAGAGTGTTGGTACCACTATACTTTCATATATTCCCTTCTTTGCCTCCATGGATAACATTTTTTGTCTCCACAGATACCTCAATGCACCACTTGCCTTTTTTCCTTCATCAGTTCTATGGTTAACCTCATCCTTCATAAACCCATCTGCTGACAAGTCAACTCCCAAATATCTGAAAACATTCACTTCTTCCATACTCCCTCCCTCCAATGTGATATCCAATTTTTCTTTATCTAAATCGTTGGATACTCTCATCAACTTACTCTTATCTATGTTCACTTTCAACTTTCTACCTTTACACACCCTCCCAAACTCGTCCACTGATCTTTGCAACTTTGTTTTTAACTCTGTTTTTAACTGACAAATCTATTCGTTCCCTAGGCTTTCTTAACCTGTTTATCTCATTCCAAATTTTTTTTCTTATTCTCAGCAAAATTTCTTGACATTGTCTCTCCCACTCTATCATTTGTTCTCCTTATGCACTCTCTCACCACTCTCTTCACCTTTCTTTTACTCTCCATATACTCTGCCCTTCTTACATTACTTCTGCTTTGTAAAAACCTCTCATAAGCTACCTTTTTCTCTTTTATCACACCCTTTACTTCATTCTACCAATCACTCCTCTTTCCCCTTACACCCACCCTCCTGTACCCACAGACTCCTGCCCCACATTCTAATACTGCATTTTTAAGACTATCCCATCCCTCTTCAACCTCCCACTACCCATGCTTGCACTAGCCCACCTTCCTGCCAATAGTTGCTTATATCTCATTCTAACTTCCTCCTCCCTTAGTTCATAAACTTTCACCTCTCTTACTTGCTGTTGCCATTTCCTTTTGTCCCATCTTCCTCTAACTCTAACTGTAGAATAGCTAAATAATGGTCTGATGTATCTGTTGCCCCTCTATAAATATGTACATCCTGCAGCCTACCCCTCAACCTTTTATCCACCAATACATATTCTAACAAACTACTTTCATTATGTGCTATATCACACCTTGTATATGTACTTATTTATCCTCTTTTTCATAATTTCAGACTTAAAAATGTATCTTTGTATCATTAATTGTACTAACTCATATTAATAATAGAGTAAACAAACCTAATTACAAACTTAAAAATGTATATATCATACATTGTACTACCTCATATTAATAACAATAAAATACGGGATATATGTAGTCTACCACTCTTCACCTGTCTAGACTTAAGTAGTCGTTAAGTATAAGGTTAAGCCTGCCCGAAATTCCTCGTCATGATAGTGGCTTTCTTTGTACCACTCAGATTATGAAATGTAAACACGCATTGTAACCTTTGCAAAGAAATAAAATTTTGATTCGATTTGATTTGAGATGTCTTAACCCCACTCCCACCAGACTGAAGTCCTGTCATAACTTCCCCTCTCCTCTAGATTGAAATCCTGTCGTTACTCCACTCCCATGAGATTGAAATCCTGACAGTGCAACTGGAAAGTTATGTTAGTTGGTATAGCACAGTGACTGAACATGTATTTGCTTCTTGATGTTCATGAGTGTGAGCTAGGTGTGGCTGGTGGAGTTATTTCAGATACATTTGTATTTTGTCAGTCTTATGTGTATTATAAAGAAATTTTTGTAATTCTTTTCAGCAATATCGGTCATTCTGCCAGTATTCAGCTATCGACTGCTGGTAGATGACTCTGCATTAGGACTTTTGGGTTGTATATCAGCAGTATTTGGCAATATAATTTATGGACTTTCATCTTATCCTTGGCTCTTCTACTTAGGTTAGAAAATGCTTCTTTTCTTGTTTCAATTTTTTAACTCTATTCTCTTTTCTATATAATATACAGGCTGATGCATTAAGTCTTATTTACCTAATAGAGTATTTTTTGTAATGTGGTAAATAAAAAAAAATATATTTAATGGTACTTCCATTACATTGAGCTTGATATATGTATTGCTGAAAAGTGTCATACAGTACAAAATGATTAGAACAGTATAACAGAAGAATGGATGAACACTGCAGCAGGCATACCAGCCTATATGAACATAGCTCTGCTCCTGTATGAACATAGCTCTGCTCCTGTATGAACATAGCCCTGCTCCTGTATGAACATAGCTCTGCTGTATGAACATAGCTCTGCTCTTATGTGAACATAGCTCTGCTCCTGTAAGAACATAGCTTTGCTCCTGTATGAACATAGCTCTGCTCCTGTATGAACATAGCTCTGTTCCTGTGTTAACATAGCTCTGCTCCTATGTGAACATAGCTCTGCTCCTGTATGAACATAGCTTTGCTCCTGTATAACATAGCCCTGCTCCTATGTGAACATAGCTCTGCTCCTGTATGAACATAGCTCTGCTCCTATGTGAACATAGCTCTGCTCCTGTATGAACATAGCCTGCTCCTGTGGGAACATAGCTCTGCTCTTGTATGACATAGCTCTGCTCCTGTGGGAACATAGCTCTGCTCTTGTATGAACATAGCTCTGCTCCTGTGTGAACATAGCTCTGCTCCTGTATGAACATAGCTCTGCTCCTGTGTGAACATAGCTCTCTGCTCTGTATGAAACATAGCTCTGCTCCTGTGTGAACATAGCTCTACTCCTGTGAACATAGCTCTGCATCCTGTATGAACTAGCTCTGCTCCTGTATAACATAGCTACTGCTCCTGTAGAACATAGCTCTTGCCCTGTATGAACATAGCTCTGCTCCTGTGTTAACATAGCTTTGCTCCTATGTGAACATAGCTCTGCTCCTATGTGAACATAGCTCTGCTCTGTGTTAACATAGCTCTGCTCCTATTGAACATAGCTCTGCTCATGTATGAACATAGCTCTGCTCTGTATGAACATAAGCTCTGCTCCTGTGTTAACATAGCTCTGCTCCTGTATGAACATAGCTCTGCTCTGTATGAACATAGCTCTGCTCCTTATGAACATAGCTCTGCTCCTGTGTTAACATAGCTCGCTCCTATGTGAACATAGCTCTGCTCCTGTATGAACATAGCTCTGCTCCTGTGAACATAGCTCTGCTCTTGTATTAACATAGCTCTGCTGCTTGTGAACATAGCTCTGCTCCTGTATGAACATAGCTCTGCTCCTGTATGAACATAGCTCTGCTCTTGTGTTAACATAGCTCTGCTCCTATGTGAACATAGCTCTGCTCCTGTATGAACATAGCTCTGCTCCTATATAACATAGCCCTGCTCCTATGTGAACATAGCTCTGCTCCTGTATGAACATAGCTCTGCTCCTATGTGAACATACCTATGCTCCTGTGTGAACATAGCTCTGCTCCTGTATGAACATAGCTCTGCTCCTGTGGGAACATAGCTCTGCTCTTGTATGAACATAGCTCTGCTCCTGTGTGAACATAGCTCTGCTCCTGTATGAACATAGCTCTGCTCCTGTGGGAGCATAGCTCTACTCTTGTATGAACATAGCTCTGCTCCTGTGTGAACATAGCTCTGCTCCTGTATGAACATAGCTCTGCTCCTGTGGGAACATAGCTCTGCTCTTGTATGAACATAGCTCTGCTCCTGTGTGAACATACCTCTGCTCCTGTATGAACATAGCTCTGCTCCTGTATGAACATAGCTCTGCTCCTGTAACTACAAATTTAGTAGGTATAAAAAATACACAAAGGTAATAAAGTATTCTGATTTTGGCCTATCTGAATTATTTATTAGACACAGTTAAACATCAATAACATTACAGTATTAATAAAAAACTAGATATGGTTACAGAATCAAATTTAATCACATATGCTGTACAGTATATACTTCCTCTCACATTTCATCAGTCATTGAACTCGGCTGGTAATGTTACATACTGCTCAACTTAATTCACAATATTCGGTAATATACAAGTGGGTGCCTTACCACTCTAAATGCCATTTACAGCTCTTGCTTCACACTAGCACTATGATTGGTCACTATCTCACAACTACTGTAATGTATGTAAATCCATCTTCTTGAACACAAAATCTAGGCACTAGTAATTCTCTTCACATCATTGTACATTGCACCACATAAACCTTACATCACTGAATACCCATCACATCTGCTTCACTGTAAATTGATTATCTGTCATTACACTGAATGATAATTTACTGCACTGGTTGCCATGCCTCACTACTTAACAGTACCTTCCTGTTGTCTGGTCACTGATATACGGCATCATTTCTAGTTCACTTCACTGCTCTTCACTGCTAGTTTTATGGATGGCATCCTATCATGCCTCCTTATTTGTTTGCCCACATCACTAACTGTCTTGTACATTTTGCTTTTGTTTGTAATGTCTACTTAGTTTGTTTTGAAGTTATTGTCATGGTGCCTTGTCATTCCCTATAAAGAAAAGTCTCTTCAGTTTTGAAATGTTGCTTTTGAGAAAGTCTACTACTCGGTGGCCCGGTGGTCTGGTGGCTAAAACTCCCGCTTCACACACGGAGGGCCCGGGTTCGATTCCCGGCGGGTGGAAATTCCGACACGTTTCCTTACACCTATTGTCCTGTTCACCTAGCAGCAAATAGGTACCTGGGTGTTAGTCGACTGGTGTGGGTCGCATCCTGGGGGACAAGATTAAGGACCCCAATGGAAATAAGTTAGACAGTCCTCGATGACGCACTGACTTTCTTGGTTATCCTGGTGGCTAACCCTCCGGGGTTAAAAAATCCGAACGAAATCTTATCTTATCTAAACCAGCTTGTGGCACCCACTCAGTCATCCCACACTATGACAAACCCAGCTCATGGCAGTCAGTCACAGTCTCCTATGCTATGACAAACTCAGCTCATGGCAGTCAATCACAATTATACCACACCATGGCAAACCCAGCTTATGACAGCATATCGCAGTCATTACATTATAACAAATTGACAATATGACATTGGTGTGCTGCTATGTGACTTTGAGTAACACTACATAGTATGAATATTGCAAGGTTTGTGTAGCTTTACAAACAAATTATATAACTGTATGTGAAATGAAGTGTTACATAAGCATGTGTTATAATGAATGATTATAGGTATGTTACTGTTATCAAGTATATTGGCTATTTAATGGTCAAATGATCTAATGATTTAATCATCAAGTAGTGTTACTTAGCCATTACTTGTCTTGCAAAATATGTTCATGTGTAGTACAGTTTTTAGTGTAGCCTGTATTTTGAGAAAGACCAATATTAATAAATACATTTCAGTACTATACTGTAATTGATTGTGATGAGGTTTTAGTGCTTAATTTTGGTGTCATTATTTCCTAGGAGCAGTATAATTATACTGTACTATATATCTAATTGTGAATATTATTTGTGGCCTAAAACTTAATAAAAAACTTCCATTTCAGGCAGTATTGTTTCTTGCCTGGGAGGTTTGCCTTTGATTGTCACACGGTCCATTATCAGCAAAGTTGTGCCACGAGAAGAACTGGGCAAGGTTTTCTCTCTTCTGGCTTCCTGGGAGTCCATCATACCTCTACTTTCCAACCCATTATATACATTTTTATATAATGCCACCATTAAAGTCTTTCCAGGAGCTATGTATTTTTTAAATGCAATTTTCTTTATTAATGCTTCAGTTATTTACATGTAAGTGTACTTATAGTATTATATTTCTTTTATTTATATTTGCTGTTTCTGATATTGGGAGTAAAGTTATACAGTGGTACCTTGACTTATGAGTTTAATTCATTCCGTGACCCAGCTAGTAACTCAACTTGCTCGTATATCAAATCAATTTTCCTCAAGGAAATTAACTGAAATGTCATTAATCCGTTCCAGCTCCCCAAAACCCACCCCAATTTTTTTTTATTAGATTTTAAATAAGAAAAATGTATTTATAAATAAGAAATATTGTATACTCCACCCACCACCATCTTTACTCCACTCACCAGCATATCTACTCCATTCATCACCCTCACTACTCCACCCACCACCCTCACTACCCCACCCACCACCATCTCTACTCCACCCACCACCTTCACTACTCCACCCACCACCATTTCTACAACACCCACCACCCTCACTGCTCCACCTACCACCATCTCTACTCCACCCACCACCTTCACTACTCCACCCACTGCCATCTCTACTACATGCACCACCTTCACTACTCCACCCACCACCATCTCTACTACACCCACCACCCTCACAACCCCACCCACCACAATCTCTACTCTACCCACCACCTTCACTACTCCACCTACCACCATTTCTACTACACCTACCACCCTCACTACTCCACCCACCATTATCACTACTCCATCCACCACCCTCACTACTCCACCCACCACCCTCTCTACTCTACCCACCACCTTCACTACCCCACCCACCACCATCTCTACTCCACCCACCACCTTCACTACTCCACCCACCACCATCTCTACTACATGTACCACCTTCACTACTCCCCCACCATCATCTCTACTCCACCCATCACCTTCACTACTCCACCCACCACCATCTCTACTATATCTACCACCCTCACTACTCCACCCACCACCATATCTACTCCACCCACCACCATCACTACTCCACCAATCTCCATAACTGCACCCACCACTATCAGCACTCCACCCACCTTAACCCCTTGACTGTCGCAACCCCCAATCCTGAAGTGTCTCCTGGTGTCGCAAAATTTCAAGAAAAAAAATTATTTTTTCTTATGAAATGGTAGAGAATCTTTTCCCGATTGTAATGACACCAAAAACACGAAATTTGATGGAAAACTGACGGAATTACACTCTCACGAAGTTAGCGACCTCAGCGTTATTTACAAATCGGCGATTTCGCACACTTTGAGCCCTATTTTCGGCTAATTACATTGTTCCAGTCGACCAAACTCATAGCTATTTCTTTAGAACTCCACTTTTTCTATCGATTGAGTACAAGAAACTGCCCATTTACCGATTTCAACTACCCAATAACATGGTTAGAAATTTGCAATTTGGCCAATTTCACGAAAATTAAAAAATATGACAATTCAAAATAATTTCCAGAATGAACAATACAGACATTCCTGGCTCTAAAATAAAATTTTCTTTGTTCATCAGTCATGTTTCCAAGCCCCTCTGATATTACTCTTGCTTTATATTTTGAATTTTTATTCAAACAAAAAATAGAAGATTTACTGTTATGCAGACTACTGCAATACTGTAATAATTGTATAAATAACATCAACCCATTCATGACTGCATATTAGAATGGCTAGTTGGACATTTATTGGACAATGACATCATTTGTTTCCTTTTGAACATCGGCAAAAATCAAACATTTCCAATACTTTGAGCTCCATTTCCAGTTTTCTTTTTAGTAAAATCAATCAAAATCACCTCTATTTCTATAATATGTTTGCCATTCTATCAAATGAGACCAAGAAAACGAGAATACAACCATAAATACTATACGAAAATAGACCACAAAGTCGGCATTTTAATTAAAAAAACGGTTGGAGTTTTTTTTTTCTCATTATGCACTGCATGCTCCAGGATTTTTTTATATGGTGCACACTGACCACACAGACCCATTCTCTCACATGTGGGCCTACCAGCTTTCTCCTGCTTGATTTGAAGCCGCTAGAATTTATGAGTATGTATACGTCAAACACGGTACCTCGTAAGACGTATATATACGACCTCGACAGTCAAAGGGTTAATGTTTCTGGACAAACTCTGAGTGTTGAAATGGAGGCTACCTCCTCCCCGGTTTTATACGAGAGTCAAACAAGGGACGAGGTGCCTCACTACAATCTGGAATTAGCGTGGGAGTATTATCCTTCCAATTATGTCTTGGAAGAGCATGTGGGATGGGACAAAGTACCTGACATCCTCTTGGTACAGAGTTAGATTTGACTTCAGATACACCGCCAACTAGTGGCGGCGTATCTGAAGCTCGCTTGTAACTTGGATTTTGGCTTGCAACTCAAAGCAAAAAATTGACTGAGTGATGGCTTGTAACTAGGAAAACTGGTAAGTTGGGGCACTCGTAAGTCAAGGTACCACTGTACTTGCACTGTTTATAAGAATATTACGCAAACATTAAAGCAAGATTACTGTGGAATTTATTTTAGAGTATAAGAGCTACATCCTTCCCTGTAACTCTCCTTGTGATTAATACAGTGGACCCCCGGTTTACGATCAGCTCCCAATGCGACCAATTATGTAAGTGTATTTATGTAAGTATGTTTGTATGTGTATGTTTGGGGGTCTGAAATGGACTAATCTAATTCAAAATATTCCTTATGGGAACAAATTCGGTCAGTACTGGCACCTGAACATACTTCTGGAGTGAAAAAATATCGTTAACCGGGGGTCCACTGTACAGTGGACCCCCGGTTTACGATATTATTTCATTCCAGAAGTATGTTCAGGTGCCAGTACTGACCGAATTTGTTCCCATAAGGAATATTGTGAAGTAGATTAGTCCATTTCAGACCCCCAAACATACACGTACAAACGCACTTACATAAATACACGTTTTCAAGACTGGAAATACTGTTATCATGAATATTTCACAGAAATAATATATATTTACTTAAGTGGTGTATTTGTAGGAATAACACTAATACTAGAAAGTATTATATGGTAAATAAAAGTTGTAGACTGCATTTTACATTCACATAGAGTTTTTTTTTTAACACACTGGTCATATCCCACCAAGGTAGGATGATCTAATAAGAAAAACAAGTTTTTCTTGTTAAATTTGGTAATTTATACAAGAGAAAGGATTACTAGTTCCTTGCTCCCAGCAATTTAATCTCTTCTTATGACACACATGACTTATGGAGGAAGAATTCTTTTCCACTTTCCCATGGATACAAGATAGAAAACACACTTTGATATCCCTTGTGCCCATCTCTCCCTATGCAAAAATGCTATGCATATAAAGGGCCCTAAAATCTGGAATTCTTTGCCTGAAAATACAAAAGGGCCCCTGCTTGCGCACCAATTCAAGGCTCTACTTAAAAATCACCTCATCTCCCAAAACTAACAAAGCAAACACTATATATTATTGCCACCATCAACTCAAAAATTGCCAAATTTTATAAGATTATTTCAAAACTAAAATGGTCTCAATCTCATTATGTATAATGTGCTAAAATATAATACTGTAACTTGTTATTCAACTATTTAATTCAATTACTGCTAAACCACTACTACTTCTGTTGATATATAACAAACAATGTTCAATTCGAACCAACTATGATATATATGTCTAGTATTAAGTAGTCTTTAAAGCATTAGGTTTAGTCTGCCCAAAATGCCTCAGCATAATAGTGCTTTCTTTGCACTTACCATATCAGTATTGTAATTACACATTGTAAACTATGCAAGGAAATAAACTCCTTAATCCTTATAGTATGCCATTGACATCAGCTAGGTCTGTATAAGTTGTGTCATGTAAGATAAGATAAGATAAGATTTCGTTCGGATTTTTAACCCCGGAGGGTTAGCCACCCAGGATAACCCAAGAAAGTCAGTGCGTCATCGAGGACTGTCTAACTTATTTCCATTGGGGTCCTTATTCTTATCCCCCAAGATGCGACCCACACCAGTCGACTAACACCCAGGTACCTATTTGCTGCTAGGTGAACAGGACAACAGGTGTAAGGAAACGTGTCGAAATGTTTCCACCCGCCGGGAATTGAACCCGGGCCCTCCGTGTGTGAAGCGGGAGCTTTAGCCACCAGGTCAACAAGTCGGCCGTCTCCCACCAAGGCAGGGTGACCCAAAAAAAGAAAGAAAATCCCCAAAAAGAAAATACTTTCATCATCATTCAACACTTTCACCACACTCACACATTATCACTGTTTTTGCAGAGGTGCTCAGAATACAACAGTTTAGAAGCATATACGTATAAAGATACACAACATATCCCTCCAAACTGCCAATATCCTAAACCCCTCCTTTAAAGTGCAGGCATTGTACTTCCCATTTCCAGGACTCGAGTCTGGCTATATAAAAATAACCGGTTTCCATGAATCCCTTCACTAAATATTACCCTGCTCACACTCCAACAGATCATCAGGTCCCAAATACCATTCATCTCCATTCACTCCTATCGAACACGCTCATGCGCGCCTGCTGGAAGTCCAAGCCCCTCGCCCACAAAACCTCCCTTACCCCTTCCAACCTTTTCGAGGACGACCCCTACCCCGCCTTCCTTCTCCTACAGATTTAAATGCTCTCCTTGTCATTCTACTTTGATCCATTCTCTCTGAATGACCAAACCACCTCAACAACCCCTCTTCAGCCCTCTCACTAATACTTTTATTAACTCCACACCTTCTCCTAATTTCCACACTCTGAATTTTCTGCATAATATTTACACCACACATTGCCCTTAGACAGGACATCTCCACTGCCTTCAACCGTCTCCTCGCTGCTGCATTTACCACCCAAGCTTCACATCCATATAAGAATGTTGGTACTACTATACTTTCATACATTCCCTTCTTTTCCTTCATAGATAACGTTTTTTGACTCCACATATACCTCAACGCACCATTCACCTTTTATCCCTCATCAATTCTATAATTAACCTCATCCTTCATAAATCCATCTGCCGACACGTCAACTCCCAAGTAGCTGAAAACATTCACTTCTTCCATACTCCTCCTCCCCAATTTGATATCCAATTTTTCTTTATCTAAATCATTTGATACCCTCATCACCTTACTCTTTTCTATGTTCACTTTCAACTTTCTACCTTTACACACACTCCCAAACTCATCCACTAACCTTCGCAATTTTTCTTTAGAATCTCCTATAAGCACAGTATCATCAGCAAAAAGTAACTGTGTCAATTCCATTTTGTATTTGATTCCCCATAATTAATCCCACCCCTCTCCCAAACACCCTAGCATTTATTTCTTTACAACCCCATCTATAAATATATTAAACAACCATGGTGACATTACACATCCCTGTCTAAGACCTACTTTTACCGGGAAGTAGTCTCCCTCTCTTCTACACACCCTAACCTGAGCCTCACTATCCTCATAAAAACTCTTTACAGCATTTAGTAACTTACCACCTATTCCATATATACTTGCAACATCTGCCACATTGCTCCCCTATCCACTCTATCATATGCCTTTTCTAAATCCATAAATGCAATAAAAATTTCCCTACCTTTATCTAAATACTGTTCACATATATGCTTCAATGTAAACACTTGATCTACACATCCCCTACCCACTCTGAAACCTCCTTGCTCATCCGTAATCCTACATTCTGTCTTACCTCTAATTCTTTCAATAATAACCCTACCGTACACTTTTCCTGGTATACTCAGTAAACTTATTCCTCTATAATTTTTACAATCTCTTTTGTCCCCCTTCCCTTTATATAAAGGGACTATACATGCTCTCCGCCAATCCCTAGGTTACCTGGAGGTTACCTGGAGGTTATTCCGGGAAACAACGCCCCCGCGGCCCGGTCCATGACCAGGCCTCCCCTTCTCCTCTTTCATACACACATACATTTATTAAACAAAAGTACCAACCACTCCAACACTATATCCCCCCTGCTTTTAACATTTCTGTCATGATCCCATCAGTTCCAGCTGCTTTACCCCCTTTCATTCTACGTAATGCCTCACGTACCTCCCCCACACTTACATTCTGCTCTTCTTCACTCCTAAAAGATGGCATACCTCCCTGGCCAGTGCATGAAATTACCTCCTCCCTCCCTCAACATTTAAAAGTTCCTGAAAATATTCTCGCAATCTACCTAATACCTCCCTCTCCCCATCTACTAACTCCCCTACTCTGTTTTTAACTGACAAATCCATATGTTCCCTTGGCTTTCTATTTAACTTGTTTAACTCACTCCAAAATTTTTTCTTATTTTCATTAAAATTTCTGCTTTGTAAAAACCTCTCATAAGCTAACTTTTTCTCTTTTATCACACCCTTTACTTCATCATTCCACCAATCACTCCTCTTTCCTCCTGCCCCCACCCTCCTATAACCACAAACTTCTGCCCCACATTCTAATACTGCATTTTTAAAACTCATCCAACCCTCTTCAACCCCCCACTACTCAGCTTTGCACTAGCCCACCTTTCTGCCAATAGTCGCTTATATCTCACCCGAACTTCCTCCTCCCTTAGTTTATACACTTTCACTTCCCTCCTACTTGTTGTTGCCACCTTCCTCTTGTCCCATCTACCTCTTACTCTAACTGTAGCTACAACTAAATAATGATCCGATGTATCAGTTGCCCCTCTGTAAACATGTACATCCTGGAGCCTACCCATTAACCTTTTATCCACCAATACATAATCTATTTTTTTTTTTATTATCACACCGGCCGATTCCCACCAAGGCAGGGTGGCCCGAAAAAGAAAAAACTTTCACCATCATTCACTCCATCACTGTCTTGCCAGAAGGGTGCTTTACACTACAGTTTTTAAACTGCAACATTAACACCCCTCCTTCAGAGTGCAGGCACTGTACTTCCCATCTCCAGGACTCAAGTCCGGCCTGCCGGTTTCCCTGAATCCCTTCATAAATGTTACTTTGCTCACACTCCAACAGCACGTCAAGTATTAAAAACCATTTGTCTCCATTCACTCCTATCAAACACGCTCACGCATGCCTGCTGGAAGTCCAAGCCCCTCGCACACAAAACCTCCTTTACCCCCTCCCTCCAACCCTTCCTAGGCCGACCCCTACCCCGCCTTCCTTCCACTACAGACTTTCATTAAGTGCTACATCATACCTTGTATATTTATTTATCATCTTTTTAATAAAATATGTCTTACTTATTACCAAATCTCTTTCTACACATAGCTCAATTAAAGGCTCCCCATTTACATTTACCCCTGACACCCCAAATTTACCTACTACTCCCTCCACAACATTTTTACCCACTTTAGCATTGAAATCCCCAACCACAAGTACTCTCACACTTGGTTCAAAACTTCCCATGCATTCACTCAACATTTCCCAAAATCTCTCTCTCTCTCCTCTACACTTCTCTCTTCTCCAGGTGCATATATGCTTACTATAACCCACTTTTCACATCCAACCTTTATTTTACTCCACATAATCCTTGAATTAATACATTTATAGTTCCTCTTTTCCTGCCATATCTTATCCTTCAACATTATTGCTACTCCTTATTTAGCTCTAACTCTATTTGAAACCCCTGACCTAATCCCATTTATTCCTCTCCACTGAAACTCTCCCACCCCCTTCAGCTTTGTTTCACTTAAAGCCAGGACATCCAGCTTCTTCTCATTCAAAACATCCACAATCATCTCTTTCTTATCATTTGCACAACATCCACGCACTTTCAGACTTCCCACTTTGACAATTTTCTTCTTCTTATATATTATTATTATATAATCCATGTACTAAAGCTGTTTATTTATTACACTTCTTTATTTCTTTTACAGATGGATTTTTTCCAATAGAAGAGATGAAAGAAGTGAACACCTCATCGATGAAATAGAAAACATTCCAGATGTTGAAACATGATTTATGCAAGAAATCCTGTAAAGTTATTTTTGGAAAAAGTACTGTGTATTAGTCCTGGTACAGTACTCTGATTTATTATACTTAATATATTTTGCATGAGAAAATTGTCATGTAGGTCTCCACTTACAAATGCATGAGTTGCACAGATCCACATTTACAAATGAGGCCCAAAAGACATAATATTAAGAAAAATAACTGTTTTATGAATGAAAATCTGAGGCTCCGAATGTCTGGGATATAAATCTATTCTTTGTACAGTACTGTCATTCTCTATATGATAATGGGCTCAGAGTTTCAAAGTATTTGCTCATAAATTGAAACACTAGGAATACAATATGTTTGTTGTTGGGGCGTTACTCTATGTTTTATAATGTTTTAGTTCAATTTTGGAGATAATGGGTTAGAAGGCTTCTTTTGTTAGCCATGAGTGTCATCAAAGATGACTAAAGTGCTGGGAGCAGTGGGCTAGTAATCTGTTTTTCTCTAATTACTAAAAAAGTTTAAGAATAAAATTTTGAAAACGAGCATATGAATGCAAGTTGGTGTAATACAGATAATAAAAATAGTGTTATGAATGAAAAGAAGCTGGATGTCCAGGCACTAAGTAAAACAAAGCTGAAAGGGTAAGTCTGGAATGCCAGGGGTAAATAAAAATGGTAGGCAGTTAATTGAGTTGTGTTTAATAGGGGGTTTGGTACTAGCTAATATTTATTTTGAAAGGAAGGGGGATAAATAATGATACAAGATATAATATAGGGCACAATGTTAGCAGATTGTTAGTGGACGAAAGGTTAATGGGTAAACTTATGGATCTGCATGTTTTTAGAGAAGTGACAGATGTGTCACATCATTATATAGTGGTAGCTACAGTAAGAGTGTAAGGTAGACGAGTATGAGTACAAAGAGACTGGCAGTAGTGGCTAAGAGGGAAGTGAAGCTAATTGGTTTAACTTTTTCACTGTCTCCTACATAGATCTATGTTAATGATACCAGTGTTGCTCATGTAAATATGCTGTGAGTAGTAAATTTTGGCTTAGACATGAAAAAATGGGTCTGTGCAGTGGGCTTGCTTGCATAGTTTTGAAAAAATCTTGCCAGTACCTGGAGTTTACCTGGAGAGAGTTCCGGGGGTCAACGCCCCCGCGGCCCGGTCTGTGACCAGGCCTCCTGGTGGATCAGAGCCTGATCAACCAGGCTGTTGCTGCTGGCTGCACACAAACCAACGTACGAGCCACAGCCCGGCTGATCAGGAACTGACTTTAGGTGCTTGTCCAGTGCCAGCTTGAAGACTGCCAGGGGTCTGTTGGTAATCCCCCTTATGTGTGCTGGGAGGCAGTTGAACAGTCTCGGGCCCCTGACACTTATTGTATGGTCTCTTAACGTGCTAGTGACACCCCTGCTTTTCATTGGGGGGATGGTGCATCGTCTGCCAAGTCTTTTGCTTTCGTAGTGAGTGATTTTCGTGTGCAAGTTCGGTACTAGTCCCTCTAGGATTTTCCAGGTGTATATAATCATGTATCTCTCCCTCCTGCGTTCCAGGGAATACAGGTTTAGGAACCTCAAGCGCTCCCAGTAATTGAGGTGTTTTATCTCCGTTATGCGCGCCGTGAAAGTTCTCTGTACATTTTCTAGGTCGGCAATTTCACCTGCCTTGAAAGGTGCTGTTAGTGTGCAGCAGTATTCCAGCCTAGATAGGACAAGTGACCTGAAGAGTGTTATCATGGGCTTGGCCTCCCTAGTTTTGAAGGTTCTCATTATCCATCCTGTCATTTTTCTAGCAGATGCGATTGATACAATGTTATGGTCCTTGAAGGTGAGATCCTCCGACATGATCACTCCCAGGTCTTTGACGTTGGTGTTTCGCTCTATTTTGTGGCCAGAATTTGTTTTGTACTCTGATGAAGATTTAATTTCCTCATGTTTAGCATATCTGAGTAATTGAAATTTCTCATCGTTGAACTTCATATTGTTTTCTGCAGCCCACTGAAAGATTTGGTTGATGTCCGCCTGGAGCCTTGCAGTGTCTGCAATGGAAGACACTGTCATGCAGATTCGGGTGTCATCTGCAAAGGAAGACACGGTGCTGTGGCTGACATCCTTGTCTATGTCGGATATGAGGATGAGGAACAAGATGGGAGCGAGTACTGTGCCTTGTGGAACAGAGCTTTTCACCGTAGCTGCCTCGGACTTTACTCTGTTGACGACTACTCTCTGTGTTCTGTTAGTGAGGAAATTATAGATCCATCGACTGACTTTTCTTGTTATTCCTTTAGCATGCATTTTGTGCACTATTACACCATGGTCACACTTGTCAAAGGCTTTTTCAAAGTCTGTATATATTACATCTGCATTCTTTTTGTCTTCTAGTGCATTTAGGACCTTGTCGTAGTGATCCAATAGTTGAGACAGACAGGAGCGACCTGTTCTAAACCCATGTTGCCCTGGGTTGTGTAACTGATGGGTTTCTAGATGGGTGGTGATCTTGCTTCTTAGGACCCTTTCAAAGATTTTTATGATATGGGATGTTAGTGCTATTGGTCTGTAGTTCTTTGCTGTTGCTTTACTGCCCCCTTTGTGGAGTGGGGCTATGTCTGTTGTTTTTAGTAACTGTGGGACGACCCCCGTGTCCATGCTCCCTCTCCATAGGATGGAAAAGGCTCGTGATAGGGGCTTCTTGCAGTTCTTGATGAACACAGAGTTCCATGAGTCTGGCCCTGGGCAGAGTGCATGGGCATGTCATTTATCGCCTGTTCGAAGTCATTTGGCGTCAGGATAACATCGGATAGGCTTGTGTTAATCAAATTTTGTGGCTCTCTCATAAAAAATTCATTTTGATCTTCGACTCTCAGTCTGGTTAGCGGCTTGCTAAAAACTGAGTCATATTGGGACTTGAGTAGCTCACTCATTTCCTTGCTGTCATCTGTGTAGGACCCATCTTGTTTAAGTAGGGGCCCAATACTGGACGTTGTTCTCGATTTTGATTTGGCATAGGAGAAGAAATACTTTGGGTTTCTTTCGATTTCATTTATGGCTTTTAGTTCTTCCCGCGATTCCTGACTCCTAAAGGATTCTTTTAGCTTAAGTTCGATGCTTGCTATTTCTCTGACCAGTGTCTCTCTACGCATTTCAGATATATTGACCTCTTTTAGCCGCTCTGTTATTCTTTTCCGTCGCCTGTAAAGGGAGCAGTTAGTCTCTTGGTTAAACTAGTGACTTTGAGGCATTGTCTGAGGTGACTTTTGTGGTTTAATTGGCTGTGTCTTAGTATAATTTTGGTCTGTTTCCAGACTGAAAGTAACTTGAAATAAGACTCAAGCGGCAGAAATATTTTATTTTTGACAATTTTTCTGAGGAAGGATAGGGCCTTTCTACCAGTCTGTTTTATGGGTTTTTACTAGGTCTGCTTCAGTTATTGGGACGGTCTAAATCATGACCAGTCATTCTTGGTTATACTATTTCATTAATCCGAGAAATAGGATAAAACTTAAATTTTTTGTGATGGATTCAAAATGGAAGGCAAGTGTTATATAGGAGAGGCCTGGAGATGTGATTAATGAACAGAGAAATTCCTAGTGTTTTATTTGGACTCTTTAAATTGAAATTTTTTAAATTTTGTGTAAAATGAGCAAATACTAAATTCTGTGCACTTTATAGGGCAATACTGATAGTCGAATGGGCAGTTTCATGCACTCAGTTGATGGAACAGAAAGCATATAGCAAAATATTTAGAAATTTTGTCAAATTGAGCAATGGAATTGGCTTAAAATAGGACTCAAAGTAGGCAAAAATCACCAATACCTAAATTGTGCCCGTATAATTTTTTTTATTTTTTCCATTAAATTTCATGGTTTTTAGTGTCATTACCTTCAGAAAGACATTTCTTATGATTTCAGAAGAATTTTTTTTTGTTTTGTTTTGAAAAATCACAGCGCTGTCAGCACTTTCATTTCAGGGGCCACAACAGTGAAACGGTTGAGGAAGGAGGCAGTTTTAGAAAGATATAAGCAACTATTGGGAAATGTGGGCAGAGAAAGTACAAGAAATAAAGGAATCAAGGATATGTGGGGTAAATTTTACCTTTTCACTGTGGGACCCCCAAAATTAAAAGTACTGACAGTGTTGGAGTTTAAAAAGAAATTGAAATGGTAGATCTAAGTATGAGACAATGACAGGGGGTTAAGAATGAATTGCTAGAGTACACAGCGGAGGTTTCTGGGTATAGGAGGGTGGGTGCAGGTCAAAAGTGGAAGGACATAATACTAGACACAACAATCTCTATGACATACCTCATGTCTGGCTTAATTTTTGTAAAAACTCAATGTGCATAAAAGAGATCTTGAGCAAGAGAAATGTTACTGACTTCAGGTGTTTCCTTACACCTGTTGTCCCTGTTCACCCATCAATAAAATGGGTACTTGGGTATTAGTTGACTGGTGTGGGTCACATCCTGGGACAAAGTTAACCTAATTTGCCCGAAATACTCTGCATAACAAGCAGCTTTCTATATAGAAGTGTGTCATTGATGTCAGCTAAGCCTGTATACCTTGTACATGTACTTGTAGAAATAAAGATATTATTATTATTATTATTATTATTAATAGTAGGTACAAGATGTCAAATGGGGCCTTATGTATTAAAGATACATAATTCTTATATTATCACAGTTCTTCATTTTATATATACTGTAATACTGTATAAATAAATCTGTAAGTTAGGATAAATATTCAAATATATTAATCTTGTGTAAAAATCATGAAGCAATTTACTCATATAGCTTATACAATATAATGAGTCAAGTCTTCCCTATCTCTGCATTATCTAAAGAGAGCAGGTCCACAGTAGGTTCCCTGTGATATGTATGGCTGATGAAGTCTTTGCTGCTTTGGCTAATGGTGAAGAGCCCATTAAGCAACCCTTCATATTTTCTCATGTTTGGGCCTCCAGGTCCTATATCAAAGGATTTTCCTTGACTTTAGAGGTCTAATTGTTTTGTTATACTATACAGTTCAAAACCATAAATCTGGACCTATTAAGGCATAAGGCAGTCCTGTACAAGGAAATTCCAGTATGAGAAAAAAAGTCAATGGAGAACAAAGAATTCATCAGAATAAAAAAAAAAATTACCAAATAAAATATTGCAGTACTGGCAATCACCAGGGCAGACCAAGAGTTTGACTGAAATATAACTGGTATTCACTAGTGCTCAACAAGTTACTAAACTCATGCAACTTTTTTTTTTTTTTTTTTTTCCAACAAGTCGGCCATCTCCCACCGAGGCAGGGTGACCAAAAGAGAAAGAAAATCCCCAGAAAAAAAATACTTTCATCATTCAACACTTTCACCTCACTCACACATAATCACTGTTTTTGCAGAGGTGCCCAGAATACAACAGTTTAGAAGTTTTTTTTTTTTTTTTTTTTTTTTTCAACAAGTCGGTCGTCTCCCACCGAGGCAGGGTATATACGTATAAAAATACACAATATATCTCTCCAAACTGCCAACTTGTATCTACAGTAAAGGTGTCCATCATTTCATGCAGGAGCTTTTTTCCATGTATGACAGCTGTGTTAATCTGAATCAGGCTGTAAACACTTAATTCTGCATAATACTTTCTAATAATTTTTGCAGACCTCACCAGTTGGATATGGAGAATATATATTGCAAATGAGACATTGCATAATAGTGAATTTGCATAAAGTTAATTTGCCTTAAGCTAGGGGGAAACTTGCATGTACACAAATAATTTATTGATGTAGAACATTTGAACATTTATTGATGTAGAACATCTGAAGACAGAGTGTCAACAGAAAGTATTAATAA